TTCATCCTTTTTGGGGCTAATCGGATAGGCACAGTACTTGAGTTTCTATCAACCGTACTTTACAATTAAACGCCAGTTTGTTTGCAACTGACGAAAGACATTCAGTTGTGAATTACATTGGTAAGCCTTAGAAGGTGACAGCAACAGCTGACTGTCGGAGGGTTATCAGCAAACTTATGAGTTGCGTGCTGTCAAGAAAAAGAAAGCGGCATTTTAAAGAAGTGCCTCAGTAATCCTGCCATCTCAGGATATTTGTTGCTAATGCGTTCCACCATCAGACTTCTCGAGGCCGGACGATTTAATCCAAAGTACCCATATGACGTTGGTTGAGGTAATTGCTTAACACTTTTCACATATAACCAGTGTTGATGTTCCTCCATGTTGTATAAAAACTATATACATTAGTGTTGTTGTATCACACCGTTTCTCATCCCATTCTGTTTTGTGTAATTTGACTGACAGATTTGCTTGTGTGAAATTGCTATCCGTGATATATACCGGCAAAAATAGCGTTTTACGTCATTGTGAGGTTATTCTGCACCCCAGTCAGTCCTAATTCTCCTTCAATTCTGAAATATACAAGCAACTGTAGGTTGGACCAAAGACTTTTCGAGGTGAAGTCGATCCAGTAAGCTAGTTAAAGGCCCCAAAACCAGCCCAAACACAAGGAAATGACATCAACCATCCTTCTGTCTACAAAAACCCTATAGAATGGCAAACAGTCACTGGTAATAAAACGGTGAAATTCCAAAGGTGAAAACGTACTCCGGAAATATTCTCCTTTTCAAAGAACTGTCAGATTGCTGATTGATCATTATCACCTTTTCTTTACTTACTGACAGCTATGAATTACAAAGAGAAAACGCTTTACTCGTGAATCGAAAAATCCAAACAGTACATCATCTGACCTATGCATCTACTAATTCTGCTACGGCTGGAGGCCCCTGACAGAAGTTGATCGTTTGAAAACTGAACCCCATTCCGAATATCTGTACGAGCAGTCTTTGGGACCAACTCGGACGTAGTCAGAGGCTGGCCTATGAAAACCGTTAATCAAAAAACAAAATGTGTACACATATTAATGAACGTCGAACATCGTATTGGAACATATTCGTAACCTTGTAGTGGAACTTCGAAGAGGTGATAAGGCTTTCGTTTCGAGACCAGACAAAAGCGCCGAAGCTGTACTACTGAGTATATAGGATTTCGTCCTTCGAACGGAAGAAAGTTAATTATACGAATTGATAGAAGACTGAGATCGGAACAATAAATTGGGTTCAGTTCCAGAAAACGGGTCTGATGACTGAAATTATACTTGCTCAACTAGGACCCCTCGGGACGAGACCTCATAGAGTGTACGGGTTTCCTGAAGTTCATAAGAACGGTATTCTATTACGACCAATTATTAGAGTGTCGCGCAAAATCTAGTCCGGTGACTTCCTAAACTTATTTGAAAGAAGACTAACCACACATAGTTTAATGTTGAATATGTTGAATATTCCCTGAATTACAAACTTTCTGCCCTCTGAAGGAACAAATGCTGTGGTGTGCCTGAATTTCACTAGACCTGATCTCCCTACTCATCGTCTCGTATCCTTGTGTGTCTAGTGTGCACTGAAGATCTTCTGTTTGATGTTCTGTTTTGGCAAGAAAAACTACAGACAAACTGATGAATTGGCGACGAGATGCCCACTTGGATCAGTTTTAGCTGATATATTGAAGAGTTATCTGGGAACTTGAAAATCACGTTAGTCTATACGGGAAGCGACCATGTATGGTGCGTCTGTTGTAATGCATGGCAGTTAGCTTGAGCAACGGAGTGTAGAATGTCTGAAACAGTGCGACTAACAAACAGGGACTTCAGACCAACACCCAGAACTGATAAAGTCGGCTAGTCGTAAGAAATCTTACTGACTGGTTACCTGATTGCCTTAAAACCCGATTAATCAAGTAACTTACTCACTTGGTCTGACGAAGCTTTTGTGTCAAAGATGAAGCGTTGTTCACCAATAAATACACTGATCCTCTACCAAGCATTTCTGAAACGATGTTTACTTTACCTTAACGCATTTTTGACTGTGTACAACAGCCTGCAGCGAACTGCACTATAGGAATTATCCCACAACGCGAAATAGCTGTTGTTAGAAGAGAAAACGCGTATCCTTAGGATACTGAAAACAGCAGCCTAAAACATAGTCGATCCGTATGATGCTATCCTGCCGGTACAATATATGAGATATCCGGGCGTGTTCGCATCTAAGTATAACCAGGCTTGCACTCGAACCTTCGGCTGGAAAGACTGGTAGTGTATTTGTCTGTCACCGTACTGTGGACCTTAAACGTCCTTTTTATTACAGTGCTCCCTACATTAAGTCCATTTCTGTGGGGATCTCGTAAAAACAAGATACATCATTCCCTGAAATATAAAGACATGAAATTCACCTCCAAAAACAGTATCTTTATGATACTGGAAGAGAATCCAATTAACGAAGATTCAGAAATTCTTAGGTGTGCTTCAGTTAAGCTTACAAAAAATTATTTCAATATTATCATCTGGACCGTCACGTTGGTTAATGTAATCCAAGTAGTAGGTCTGATACTCTGTTTGGAGTAAGCTCGGAGCGTTTGCGTCCCAATATATCCAGTCAGGCAGAGCAGATTGAAACGCCAGATACGTCAGTCAACAAATCCAAGGTCGCGTTCTGAAAGATAACTCCAATTGAGGTTGGCATGATAAATGTTTGTCCCTCAGGTGAAACACAGGTTAGAGACACCGGTAATTGCACTGGTTCTCACCGAGACAAGCATCCACAAAGAGTTGAAGACACCAGGACCTTTATGGAAATCGTTAAACTTAAAAATGGTTCAGAACTAGTTCAGACGTCAACTTAAGCGATAACTGACAATTCAAACTAAACACATGTGCGCTGGCTGTAGCGTATAACGCCTCTTCCCAACGGAGTAACTGAGCAAGCAAGGGATGTAGAAAGACAGGCCCCATGTAGCATTTGCAAACCACACACTCCATTTCACCTAGTGCATCTACATACCACTGATGTCCATAAAAATGGAAATCGCATACTTGAATAAATATAGTGCTCGACTTCATCTTGCTTACCGAAAATCTCCCGTATACAGTAGAGCACGTAGCTTTATTCAAAAGGATCTGTTTTGGACACTTTGGGCATAATGTCATACAAGTAGTCAAAATGAATTCCTTGGGTATCTCCAATTTAGCCCTTAGATCTTATCAATTTTAAAGTTCCTAGTCATGGATCAGTACGCTTTTTCAAGTATTATGTCTAGAATTGGGCAACGTGGCAGTATCCCAGCCGTCGTGCCCCATTGAGTGGCATGTCAGCCAGGCACAGAAAGGGTGTTACAGCGGTAAGATGTATTTTTTCGGAATGCACACTTAAATGTTGATCATGGACAAATTTCATTCACGCAACTCGTTTCTTAGGAACGATAAAAATTAGGAAAAATGCTGCATTTGTGAGTATTCTGAAGTACTGTGGATTTCTGAGTTGCGTTGAATGAGTTGAATGAATGCGTTGAAGAATGAATGATGAGGGATTTTATTCTCGCGCTGCTCGTTTTGCGTTTAGACTTGGCGAAACATCACTTGACCAGAGTGGTGGCTTCCGAACACGTTGATTGCTTCGAATATATCCTATATATCCATTAGACTTGAAGCCATGAAATGAAATGTCTCCTAGGAGGTATTTCATGGGCTTTGGAAGTTTATTCACGTCAATCTCATTTGATCAGCCCTTCTTCTTTATTGAAAAGGCTACTCTAGTTGTTTCACAGTGGGTACACTGGGTACAAATTACAGCCTCAGTTAAGCTTGTCACCGGCTTAGAATGACCACCGCGCCGGACGAGTACATTAAAAAGCTCATCCTAAAAATGCCGAATGTCTCTCGTGAATTATGAATTCTCAACTTCATCCGCTTTCTAATTCCCCCGTTTGACAAATACCGGATAGTCGCCGAAAATCCAGGATCATTTTGATGTAATTTAACAACTCTTTAAAACACCATGGAAATTTCCTTAAACTTTTAGAGCCGCTGGCGTTCCACTTCGTTCCGAATAGCTTGTAATATGGACTCACCAGTTAGAAAATGCCTTTTTTCCAGCAAGGTATGATAACTCAAGGTATACCTTGAAGGCATTCGGTTACGCAATCGTGTCAGTGATAAGTCAGAGTTTTTCTGTGCCCTATCAATCGATCAGTCACAGGAGACGAAATGTGAGCTGCATTCTCATGGAGGTCTTTTATGCCCTGATAGGCCTGATAATACTGACCACTCACGCTTATTGAATGAAACCACCTAGAACTGGGTTTATAGTGAGATGGACTGGATTCGATTATGAACAGCCGTTGGCGCTGCACTGGCAACTTTCTCATGGATTTTATGCCCTGATAGGCCTGATAATACTGACCACTCACGCTTATTGAATGAAACCACCTAGAACTGGGTTTATAGTGAGTGAGACTGGATTCGATTATGAACAGCCGTTGGCGCTGCACTGGCAACTTGGCTGGTATCTAGGTTCGTGCACACGCGCGTCATGCGTCTAAGCCATGTCAGGTTGCAGTGCAGTCGGCATAAGACCGGCTATTACAACCAAAACCACCGAATGGTGGTTGAAATCCCATAGCCACCACGTTCTGAACCCAGTCGAAAAACAATAAGGTGGGGAGGGTTGTATATCTTTATCTGACTGAAACATTTCGTGTAAACGAAAGTCGCGAGAACCCAGGGTGCACTAGATGTCACAAGCCCGCCCGTGGTCAACTGCCTCTGGTTGAAATATGTGAAGCGGAATGGTGTTCCTATCTATGATTGGTTCGCAAACGCGCCGAATCATCTGAAGGAGGACAGCACACACCACACACATCACTGGTCGTTACGGTGCGGGACAGACAGACGCGGGCGACCGATGATGGTCGAAAGCGAAGCACGGCCAGCTGTCAACATTCGAATAGGACGTCATCATCGACAACATCCGCATTGACAGACCTGGCCACACTTGGTTTTCGCATTCGTATTATGATAAAGTAAGTCCTAGGTCTTCGTTTTTTTTTCACGCCACATTCAGTGGATAGTGTTGCTTTGAATGTTTTGATGAAAAACATCCTGACTGCGTGGGGAAAAAAGGTTTGCCGAAAGATGAGCTTGTCGGTCTCGTTGACTGCTTGAGAAAAAAAACAGTGGCAAATTCACGAAAAACAATGTATATTTCGTCCACAGTTTAATCTTCCTTGTCGCAAGACTTCTCCAAAATGGCCGATCTTTACCGAGAATATGGACTCTTGGCCTTGTGAATTCCGTTACAATCTTTTGGTGACCTTCAGCAGTAGCGATCGCGAGATTGTGCAACAACTGGGTAACCCAAATGATGTCGTTTAAGCAACCTCACTCTCCGTCATCTGACGCACAGTCCAGTTTCAATGTCCATCAGACCGTACGTATCAGGTTTTTCAACCGGTGAAAATGCCAGTAGCATGGCGTGGAAATGGATATCATCAGTAGTCAGTCATAACGAGACACTTTTTTCATCTTCCAATAAATTGACAAAATTGGTAAGTGTGTGGATGCTCCAGAGGGAACGTTCTCATGACAACACTATGCCTCTGTGTATGACATGACGAGGCCAAGTAGACATCCCGAAATATCGGTCTCGCCTTCCAACATTTTTACGTACTTTTCACTAAACGTGTCAGTCTCGCAGGGAAAACGAGTTCAACTGCCAACAAGAATTGTTCTTCCTCACAAAGCCATTTGAGTTACGTTGTCTGTATAAACCAAGGACGAAGCTCGTTGGATTCCGCCCGAT